AAAAACAACCCAGTAACTTACATAGCACAAACGGAACAATGGTGACACCGATCCGGTTTTATCAGCTGGCATCTATCACAGAATCGAATACCTGAAATTAAAGACACATTAATATCAAATACGTGTTAATATTCTGCTCATTTCCTAACAGCTGATATTCTTTCCTCTATCACTTCCGAGTGCATTTGCAGCTGATATTTGCTGCCAGGTCATAATCAGATAAGCAATGCTCATCATTCTCTGGAGACTTGCAGGTGCGGGGAACAATCCTCACTGCAAAGCACACAACCAGCTTACAAGCGATAAAGCTGTTCACTTCCCTCTGGCTTCCACACTTACCCGACTTTACATCCACTCCATTCTGATAACTGCCCACAAAGCAGTTCTTTCCTGCAGAATTCTTTGGCTTGTCTGACCCAAAGGAACAGGTCAGAGCCTCCGGGATGAACACAGATTACTGTTAAGCTTCGAAAGCAGCGCAGTACACATCTAATCACAGAACAAGGTCCAAAAATCTGTTCATAAAGCTACTTCCTGCATGTCTAACCTAGACTCCATATTAAGTAAAAACGACTATAGATTTTGTCATTCTATGACTATTATTAAACATACACAACGTTAGTAGGTTTTGAACTGTCAATACAAAGGGTAACACGCTGCTTCTCAAAGGCAGCCCCTGGTACTCCACTGAAGATGAACGGAAGTGTTCACGGCTTTTTTCTTTTCCCAAACGTAAAGCCTGAGAGAGAGAAGGCATTACAGTTATTTGCACAAGAGTTACTCAGCGCATGCGGTGGCATTAGGAACGCCCTGTTCGTTGGCAGTATCATCCGGATTCCCAGCACATCCTACTGCAGCGTGCTTGGTGAGATTTAGAGAAGCAAAGCTCTCTGTTTAGCTGACCTCCATTCACCGTTCTTGTGTACACTGGCAGCTTCCGTGCAATTTCAGCGAGAATTTGCCTCTGCACCTCCGGCCTTTCTTCATTCTCATAGCGTTCCTTGTCAGCATAGGATATGTGGTACTGGAAGCAGAAGTCACGAGAGGAGCAGTTACCCATGGGCAGCAGGGACAATAGTTCAAATACAGGCAAGTTTGGAAACAGTTTTATCTCCCACTCCTTCTCGTGAGATTAATCTAATGTGAAAATGTATTTGTTAAGAACAAAAACAGAGATGGTAAGTGCTCAGCAGCCACAATACTATGCAACGCATCAATAAGAAATGCAAAAGTGAAATCAAGATCACAAACCAACATACTAGAATTGATACTACTGCTGCCTTAGGTTATTATTTTTCATGAATAACATTACTAACCATGATAAGGACACTTAAGCACTTCCCTTGTGAGCAAGAACCTGTCCCCAGCCACTCTTTTATATTTCTAAAACTGGGATTACTTGTTAATTATAAATGCACATTCTTGTAATTAGGATCAGGTTATGGCCATGTATATTTGGAGTGCCACAAAAACATCACCCTCATTCTACTGCTCCATAGTGTTTTATTAGTTTTTCATAAAGAGGTAAAACAAAATGCAAAAAAAAATAAAATAATCCACCAATCCAAACAACATGAAAAAGTAAATATTTGGTAGAAAAAGAATTGAAACAAATGTCTGCCTCTGACTGCCCGGTGCTCAAACCACTAAATCATACTCTTGTCCTGAAATAAGCCACCCACATTAAAAAAAGAATTCCAAACGGTTAACTGAAGCATTATTAATTAAACAATCTACTTTTGTCACAGCAAACCCCAGTTTCTCTTTACCATAGTGTATTGTTACATTATCTTTCAGGATGCTGCCGACCAGAGAAGCACAAGGACTGGTGCTCCATGTCCACGTCGCACCAAATTAAAAGCCCCACGCTCTGCTCACAGCCCGTGCTCCCTGCCACACGACCACTACAAACGCGCCCGTTTCCACCTGCGCTGTAACGCTGTCACGAACAGTGAAAACCAAAACTGGAGGAGACTCCAGCCTCCTTGCTCAGGAGACTCCAGTAAGGGGAGGTTAAGGAAGGTCCTGAGGATCAACGCCACTATAAATATGTAAGTTCATAACCATCAGTCCTATCGTTCTCAACATGAAAAATCCTGTCGGCTCCAGGAACACCTGAAAAGGCAGCTTTAAAAGTTAACAGCACCGCTGATTTAAATCATGCTCTTTGGGGAGTCAAAGGATTCTTGGAACGGTAAACGACTCTGTTTTTACAGACAACTCTAGGTCACTTTCCATCTCTTCAGGAAGTCCCACCCGTTGTCCATCAACTGGATGGAAGGATTTTTTGAGTTCTCTTTAGCATCCCTACTTTCATTCTGCAACAAATGAAAAGTGCTTGGACTCTTACCTTTTTGCCTGGCTGCATCGGGAGAGTAAAAATAGACTTCCAGTATGTCCACACAAAGAGCACAAAGAGAATATGGAATATTATAAGATAGGCCACTAAAAAACAAAACAAAACAAAAAAACAGAAGCAGAACAATGACTTCTTAAGCAAGAGTTTCATTCATGATGGGCACAATTCCAATCTTTCACAACAATGAAAAAAAAATAAAATAAAAAAAAAAGATTTACAGTACCAACCAGTATTACAATCCAACTAAATGTTACAGTCAAGGGGCCAGCAGAATTTCCGAGACCTGTGGCTGCAGTTAAGGGTCACCTATCCCACCAGCCTCCCCCTCTCCACCCGATCCGATTCCGTGGGTGAGGAAGAACACAGCTGTAAGAGACTTCACCCACAGGGCAGGTGACAACCCTGTGCCCCAGGAATGACAGGATTCCTGTCCCTTCCCCATTTCCTAGGCACAGGCAAAGCAGCACTGGCTGGTGCTGAGCAGCATGAAGGTTAATGGGGCAAGACTCCAGCACCTCCACATTCTGGGTTGCTGCACTCAGAATCACCGTACCCTATGACCAGTGCACTGTCCGCCCGTACAATGCGTTCGTCACTCCTTCGGAGAGTTCAGAGAAATAACATGCTCTAGCAGAGCTTTACGTCACCAGAAAGAATCGAATCTCTTATTAAGCATCTTTTAGATTTGCCACAGTTGATACAATAAAACCCATCAGGAGAACATCCCCCAAATTGAGCAAAACAGGTCTTGTGATTACTGAGAAAGAACTGTAATCCACCACACACAACGTCATCCGTGGAATCCAGCATGCATCGGAGTGATCTTATTTCAATACACAAACCTCACTTCAAATTCTTTGTGCATAAGCTGTACTGTGGCTCCGAAAGCCAAAGGACAGCTACCCTTCAGCTACACAAACAATTTGTTATTTCTTTAATACTCATTAAGACATTTCATACAGTGAAAATGTAACTGGGAAAAAGGCCAAACACAGCTTTAAGACTTTCTCATGAGATGGCAAACGATCTGATACACCTCACAAGAATGTGATGGATTGTGTGACTGCTCCGTGAATCGATGAGAACTCATTAGTACGCCCTCAAGCCTGTCAGAGATGTTATCCTTATACCACATGCAGGTGGAGCTCAGTCGTTTTTAAATTAACATGTAAGGAGATAAATCTTGCAGCAGGTTTAATTTTGTTGATAAAGCAACACAGCAGCATGTTAGAGGAAGCTGACCTGCAGATGCACTAACAGATTAGGCAACTAATAACTTTCTTCTGCTGAATAACCATTAACATCATGCTTTCTACAGCGTCTCTGTAACAGTTCCAAGTATTAGGACAGCTCTCTAGTGCAAAGAGAATTTACTGGATGCAGCAGCCTGGAGGATCGTTAAAGTATCAGCTGGCATTGGTATCATGGGACAATGTGCCAGCTGCAGACTGCTACAGTACTTCTGTCCTTCATAACCCCAGAAGAAGAAATGAAGGCAAGAGGCCACCTGCGTCAGCTAAATGCCTCCAAAGCACCTCCAGGAAAGAAGAGGAGGAATACTAAACCAGCCACTAACTCCTTCTTCTCAGAATGGGTCTGTGGCCTCCAACAATGCACCAGTGGGAACAGGCTCACCAAGGGATGCTGCTGCTCTGCCCGACTCCTTCAGTGACCTCACGATACCGCATCTGGGACCTCGGAACAATGTCTGTCAGCCTGTACGACCAAATGGACCCCAGAAGAGTTCAAGCCAAACACCAGTGAGACAGAAACCTCTGCGCGAACTCATCTGTGGTAGTATCTGAAAGTTACGGTGTTACTACTCAGTGTATGGTTAGGGGTCAACAGAACCAAGCGAAAAATCTTCTGCAAAAGCCTCCCTACAAAAAGCATTAAAAACAGCTTTCACTGAAAGATCAAATAAAACAGTGAAAAAAAATAGGTGGGCCACAGAACAGAACCAGTCTTTTCTGTTTAGGTTGTAAAATCAGCTCTGGAAATGTAAAACAAAGGGAGAAAAGGCGTGTGGGTGTATACAGATAGAGATATGCGTTTTCTTCGGAAAGACTAACAGGGATCAAAGCCTTTTCATGTTCTTATGCTTATACTGCAACTGAACGGGCATTTCCCAGTACATCCAAAAGTCACACCACGTCTAACAACGCATGCTGTTTACTTCATGAGTGCGTCATTACAGGAAGGAAACACTGAAAGAGTATGTAAGGTTATAAAACTCATGGAAAGTATTTTTGATTTTTTAACTAGAACATTTGTGAATGTTTTTACACGAGAACTGAATGTCAAATAGTAAACATACCTTTTTCCACAGGGTTGGTCAGAGTCACTGAAAAAGAAAAGAAAAAAATCACGTGTCTACAGAGCAAACGGGATTCCCATAAAAGTTTGTGAGAAATAACTTTTCTATTTGAAATACAGACATTTTAGGAAAAAAAGTTCAAATTCAACAGACAAAAAGAGAGCCTGCAGTTTAGTATGAAATCGAAAGCATCTATAACCATTCCTTCTTTACCCAGGCAAATGACACCCACAGCAAGATGTTCAGTAACTGCTACTTATGCTATAGCTTCCCTTGCTATAAAATATAGTGTGTGTATTAGAAACATGACAAAAATAATCCACTGGTGACAGAAATGTGACAAGATTGCCAGGGCTCCTCTAGCACCTGTCCAAGCAGCATCTCGATGCAGGTACTTGTAGTCTGCTCTGTACCAGTCTGTAGGGGGTTAGATCCTCCACAGCAAGCCATGCCCCAACGCACTTCTGCATCAACACTAAATTGCAAATTATCTTGGCTTTGGCCTAGTCAGCAACAAAGGGTACGCCGCAATGACTCAATTATTTTTACACTTCCTACTAGCAGAGTTCTTACAACCCCTCCTTTATCGTAATCATAGGAACAGTCCCTACTAAGAACCACTGAGAGCAACCAGCAAAGGGCTCACTGCCCAATGTCTGCTTATAAAAAAAAAAAAAAAGCCATCATCCAAGTTTAACAGAAAAGATAAAGACATCTTTCTTTAACTGGAAATGGAGCTGTTCTGTGATAACTTGACAGAATACTGCTTGCAAGACAGAGACTGTTCAGGGGATGGGAGCCCCTTATACCGAGTCCACAGCCTTGAGTCTAAGGGTTACAACAGAAATGTGTCGCTCCTTGGAGGAGGCACAGTAATCTTACAAAAATAAGGTCATACTGTCAGAAGAGTCAAGGATTTGGGACACTGCACATGCCAGTGGTGACGCCTTCAGTAACTCCATCAGACTGTACAGAGACAGAAGCGACTGAAAGACTGGAGCCTTGCACTTCTAGCCTACAGCCAGCGCCTGCAAAGAGACTCTTCAACACCCACTCTACAAACTCAGAGAAATGTTAAGTCAGAGTAGGAACCAAGAAGCCCTGCTTCTCCTAGTGAAAGTAGCTTTTCTTAAAACCACACAAACAAACATGTTCTGCAAGCTTGATGGCACACAACAATGCAGATGAAAAAAGAGACCAAATATTTTCTGTCTCTCTGCGCACTCAATTTCAGACGAACAAGACTGTTAGAAAACCTTTAGTTTTTCCTTTGGTTTGCTGCAAATTTTCACAAATACTGCTTGGTTCCCTCCTGAAGCACACGTCCCACTTCCAGCATGACCTAAGGATTTTACTTGAACTAAATAAACTTTTATCACAAGACACTGGGTCATTGTTCTCACTGTGGCAGCACCCACCACCCAGACATGAAATCAAGGCCTCCTCAGGGCCACATCAGTCACTGAAAGTTTAAAACCCACTGTCACGAGATACCCCTCAGGACATCACCCCCACAGTACTTTCAGTCCTCGGCAGTCGGCACAACTAAAGATAAAAATCAAGAATACAAACAGATTGTCTACAGTTCACATCCTTGCAACAGCTGAAATGGCAATACACAAGGAAACCTGACAAAAAAGCAGCCACCCCATAAAGCCTGGCTGTGTGAGAAACCTGGAAGCGAGGGAATGTCCAGAGAGCTGGTCTTCAAGTAACTGCATATGCCAACAGTTAATGGTCAAATCCTAAAATATTGAATTCAGTCATGTCAACTTCTGTATAGATAACCTCCTCCACACACAAATAAAATGCATGAGAGAGAAAGATGGGGCAAAAAAATAGATAAGTGTGGGGAGAGGAGTGATTTGAAGCATTTGCAGAATAACACAGGCCCAGGCCAAACCCCACCTACATCAACAGCCTTTTCTAATAGCTGCACTAAGACTTGGAATTAGTCAATGTTAATGTTACTGAATTTGCACAGCACTGCAAACAAAGCGTATTTCAAAGGACTGACGGCATTTCAGGAACATGCTCTAAGTTTTTTGTCACATGGTCTAATCACCAGTTACATGCACCTTGGAGATATCGTTCCAAGTGAATTCTGGAAAGAAACAGCCCACAATCTCAGAGATGGAATAAAATGTCAGGAAGGCATTGGGGGTTTTGCCTAGCTGGCAATTAAAACCGATCAAAGAAGCTTCATTTTGCTTTTGTCCCCATCGAGAAAAAACAATAGGTCTTACTGCATCAAGAACCCTGACAGAAATCTGATTCAAATCTGCTCTGCAGTACCAGAAAACAGCTCTTTTCACACAAATGTCTCAAATTACCATTCTGAGAGCTCTGGCTCACCCTGTCCTGAGGAGGAAAGGCCACATACTCCCCACAATTTCAGAAGCCCCAGCTACCAGCTTTTCTCTCTACCTCCACCAGACCTAGCACTCCTTTCTTCTAGTACCGGGTTTTTGTACACACACTAAACCAGAACATAACAGACACGAGACAGTTTGCAACTCACCATGTAGCCAAACTGCCACGTTAAACGATACCATCACTAACCAGTTCCAAAAATTTCCTTTCTAAAATCTAGGGCTTCCCATGCTGCTGTAACAAGGTATTTGACTCACGGGTGTGATTTAATGTAACTTTTCAGAATATAAAAAAATGACAGCAGCACGGGGCACACACTGATCTTGTGTTACCCCTTAAACCAGAGATC